TGTAGCTCTTATTGAGTGGAGTGTCATAGTTACAGAGCACTCTTGACAGAATTCACCTATGTGAGTGTGGTAGTGGGGCCGCTACCTATGAGATTTGGGCTAATCTCAAACACACTCATGAATCCTAGGATCGCACAAGGCCGTAATGTGCTAGCTTTTAAAGCTTTTGTGAATACCTGGAATATTATGTGTGTGCAATAATTATTTATTTCCCTTATTAGTCAATGTATTCAATGATGAGCATACTATTGGCTCTGGAGTAGATATTATTGTTTCATAATGGAGGTTCAATGTAGAGCACACCTACCATGATGCATAATATCCTTATTTGCCTAATAATCTCACATTTTTGTTACCTGTAATATTAAAATAGGTGGGGGAATGTTAGCAGATATTTTAATTTTATAATGTGTCTTAGGTGTTTCTCTTTTCTTTTCTACCTAGTTTGCTTCCCATTCTAGTCTCCAAGACTTCCTAAATAAGTCTTCCTAGTCTTTCCAAGTCTTCCTTTCCTATCCATTCCAAGACTTCCAAGGTAAGCCATCCAAGGTCTTGGCAAGTCACCCAATTCTTATCCTTCAAAAATAAATAACATTAAACTAACACATTCTTTTATTTCATGAGTTTCATTACATAATATTACATGTTAACATCAAAACAAAATGCCTACGGGCTTACAGCTTCCAAGTTACACTTGGTTTTCATCAAAGAGTACTAACTTCGTTTAACATTAAGCCCTTTGGCTTGAAGTACATGTAATACATCAAAAGTAAAACAACTACACCTATGTCCGCTCTAAGCCTTCCCAAGCTATTTTGCCTTGGAGGTGGCATGCTTACCTGTACCTTGAAAATGATATTCCCATTAGGTGTGAGCCACAGCCCAGTAGAAATACACTCAAACCAACATGGACAATGACTAAAAACATTAGCAATTGATAGTTGCGCAACTACTGATACAATCACAAAATTACAATATTATGTCAAACGACTTACAAGTCCCAATTTACTTTTCATTTTCCTTTTTTCAACAGAAAAATAAGCATGCTAGCTCTATCGATCATTTCCACAGATATGTTATAAAAATATATCTCACATTCAAGATAAGCATAAAAGCTATATCACACAATCTCAACAGATATGTATATCAAAATATGCCACAGATAAGCATAACAAGCTGTATCCACACTCTACAAACAGATATGTGATATCAACAATATCCACAGATAAGCATACAAGCTGTATCCACCACTTCACAAGATAAGCAACTGAGCTCTATCTTCACTTCTCTAGACAAAGCATATGAGCTCTGTCTACGGAGTTCATCCCCTACTCCTCCCAATACCTATCGGTTAGACGGTACATCCCGCTAATCTTCCCCTAAACCGCGGAAGTACATCCCCTATCTCCTCCTCTACACATAACAGTTATATAAACCACATTTGGTTCTATATACAATCACACAATACACACAATTAATGTATTTATCAACCGTCAAGTTCCTATGAACATTTCCATTGATTAGTTTCCGTTTTACCTAATCATTATGCATTGTCTACAACAATTCTCGACATCCTCCACGATAGCCCAAAGCAGTTATTTCTAAACAGAAAATAAAATGCACAAAATGGCATATTCAATCAACATTCATTTCCTCATTTGCTTACCAATTAATTATCCCAATTAATAAACTAATTAATTAGGCCATTTTCCATTAATTACCATGTTCAACCCTTAGGTCCATTTTCATCAATGATTCAACAATCATATCTATTTCTATGCCGAAACATCATCATAGGTTTATTATGAATAAAACCCCAACTTTTTGTAAAATTACACAAAAGCCCCAAACTTTCACATATTTACCAAAACCAAGACCCAACATCTCAAATACCAAAATTTAAGAACAAAAACCATAGAGAGGAAGTAGGATATCCTACCTTCAAATTCAGAGTCCCAAAGGAGAAGACGACAAAACCCAACGTGCTCCAAAAAACCCGTATTTTCAGATTAAAATGGTAGCCCTCACGACAAACAACCTTTTTGTAAAGGCCAAAGTGAGTAAATCATCCCTACTAGATCAAAACCTAGGAGAGAAAGGTAGAGTCTAGAGTGAGAGGCTCAACAATGGTGATTTTGGCAAAGTAAGAGAGAGAGAGAAAAGTGAAAAATGATTTAAAGAGTCACAAATTCGGAACTTAACCAGGTCTCCGCTTCGAGCGTAAAACAGCCCGCTCGAGCGGCCACTCACAGACTACGCTGCGAGCGGCCAACTCCCGCTCGGCGTAGAATGCACTCGCCCAGCAGTTTTTGCAGAACCAGGCCTACGCTTCGAGCTCCCAAACCCTACGCTCGAGCTCACAACACTTCCACAAACAAGATACTGGATGGATGTTATTCCCCGCTCGAGAACGCCAACACCTCCCGCTCGAGCGTCTTCTAGCCGCCCAATAGCTCACCCCAGGCACCACGCCCACCCGCGACAGCCAAAAATACTGGGCAAACTAGTTTTGGTTTCTAAACTCAAAACAACCTGAAACCAACCCGCCCAACACATCCTATAACTTCAATACAAAGTAAGAAAGGATGTAAACAAGATAATAAACAACTACCAAACATTCCACGGACACATGTCCGGATACATACAACAAGGGTAAACCCGGGATCG